AGAGTCCAGGCCAGGCACCCTATTAACAGCAAGGGCAGTGTCCTTGGAAGTGTCTTCCCACTGGCAGGGTATATTTTCTCAGTAATTTTGGATAAAGGGAAATGCTGTCCATTATTTCTCATGGTGTCTCTTGATGGTGCGGCCTTTTATCCTGCAAATTCTAAAGTTCACTGTTTTCATTTAGTCCCCTGCAAAGATCGTTCAGGAGTCTCTGCTTTGCCTAGAGCAGCAGCTCCTAATTGCAGCATTTCTTTTTTTTTTTTTTTGACAGGCACATCATCATTTGACTTTATTTAGAAAGTCATTGCTAGTATATATTTCAAGGAACATCATTTCATCTAGTAAATGATTGTAAGGATTTTGCTTGAAATAAAGTGCTGGTCATTTACATTTACTGAATTTTTATTTCTACTTCAAATTGCAGCATTTCTTTTAAATCTTTTAGAAGGAGAAAACACAGTGCATGCTAATTGAGCAGAAAATTCATTTTTCCTCCATCAGCCCTGAAAAGATGTGAAATCCTCCACGTATTGGGAAAAAAGATGCAAATCCCTCTACCCACTGAGCTCTCGGTCTCAGGCTGACTCAAATGATCCAGAAAAAACGGCCTGGCTGGGAAGCAAGGAGGTAGTAGGCAAGTTTCTTTCCCTCTCTGGGCCTCAGTTTCTCTACCTTTATAGGGCATTGGGTCAGGTGATCTAAAAAATCTCTTTCTGTTCCCTAAATCCCAAGATTTCTGGCCAGTGTACCAGAGCTGCTGCCCTGGCTTCCCACCAAAATGCTCCCCTATGAGATAATGAAGGAGCAGACCAAGTTCTGATGACAACCCACATTCAACTCACAATGTCTCAAGAAGCACAAGGAAAGTTAGAGGGGCAGTAGGACAATGAAGAGGACAAAAAGGAATGCCTGTTGAAATGGTCATCATCTGCAGCTACTGATGAGGAACTGGGAGATCAGACAGATCAAGGGACTTACCCAAGGTCACACAGCCAGGAAGAGGGCAGCCTGGATTTAACTCTAGTTCTGTGTGGTTTGAAGTCTCAGTCATAGTAATAATGCAGGACTTGGAGTTGTAGCCTGAAGGCACTCTAGAATCCCACCACATAAGAAGAATGAATGTGAGCGTGGACAGAGACTTCTAGGTCAGACCCAGATAACCTGCAAGGCTTTGGCCTACCCCAAGCTCTCCCCTTAGCAACTTGTGGCTCTCCAAAGTCTCTAACAAACTCATTTACCAAGTTACCGAGCAGTTAACTGCATGCCGTGTACATGCTGAGCACTTCATGTATGTTGCCTCTTCATTACTACACCTGTAAAACCCATTTTACAGATGAGAAAACTGAGGCTGAGATGGTAAGTCCATTTTCTCAAGACTATCCTGCTAGTAAGTGACAGAGCTGGAATGCAAGATGCCAAGCCAGATTGCTTCAGAGCCTCTCTTCTGGGGGCAGGGTGAATGCTGGTGGTGGGAGATACTGGAAACTGTGGATTGGAAATCAGCTCTTTTGTCTCCTGGGCTGCTGCTTCCTCAGCATGGGCAGCTCCTACCCTGCCTAAGTCCAGCTGCCTCATCTTCCTCATACTCCAAGGCCCATGTCAAAGCCCCTATCTCTCCCAAGGGGAGGGCGAACCACTGCCCCCCACTGCCTCCTGCTGCTGCTGGGTGCCAGGGTCAAAGCCAGCTACCCCTGAGCCAGCCTGACCCCCACCTCTTTTTCCTGTACCTCCTTCCTTCAGCTCTCATACCACCTGGTGGCTTACAGAGGCACAGTCAGAGCCCCGGGTTGCACACCCCTGCCTTCCTTGAATTCTTGCCTTCAGGGGCAGGGCTGGGGAAAAGGGACACCGATGATGGGAGTCCAGGCCTTCTGGGGCTGCAGGTGATGCTGTGCAGGAAATTCAACAACTGAAGGGGAGGTCCCTCTGTGGTCTGAGAGGCTGCCGTGGGGGCTCACACGAGGGAGAGGGCAGCTACCACGGAGCCAAGTGCTTGAGCCTCAGACTGACCCAACAAGGGGTGCGCAGAAGGTGGAGGGAAGCAGTCTGCTCTCTGCTGATGGATGAAGGGCAAGCAGCCCTCCCTTACCCCCACCCCTCCCTGCCCTGCAAACTTTTATTATTTCTTGCTCCTGGCTGTCAGCTGCAACAAACTAAGATTAATCACTCGCCTGCCTGCCCAGACCCAGACATGCCTACCATTTGAAAACTCTCTCCTTTACTATATAAATCAATGAGGGAAGGGAAGAAAGAAAAACAACTCTAACAGAAAGGTGTCTCTAGTGCCCCTGGAAGGCATCCCACCAGCCCCTCCCGGCCCCACTACACCCACCACCCTCTACTGGAGCCCAAGGAAGCATTCGGTGGGTGAAGACTGACTGCCCGGAAGTCAGCACAAACTGGAGCTCCGAGCAAGAACCAGCCGGGTGTCACTAAGCAATCAGAGCAGGCGGTGTGTTCTTGATCAGTTGGTCCAGCAGCCTCCTCCCCTGCTTGGAGGAGATGAAGCCTTCCCACATCCTTGGGACCTAGAGGGAAAGCACCCTGCCCTGTTTGTGGAGCTTTAACCTGGAAGCAAATTTACTGACAGAACCCCAAACCCTCATTCTGTGGGTGCAGGGGAAAGGCACTTTGCCCAAGTCATCCAGCAGCGGACATAGCTCGCGTGCCCCGACAGCGATCCCTCAAGGCTCGGGGAAAGCTGGGAGGAGCAGGGGCCAGCTGCAGGCCGTGCACGGGGCTTACCTGCTAAGCTGCATGACTCCTCAAAACAGCTTTATGAGAGTGGCCTGCGTGGTTTTCCAGGTGATCATCAGGGAGCTGACGTCGCCTGCATCGGACAGCAGGTGAAAGATGGAGGTAGGAGTCGAACTCAGGTATCTCTGACTGCAGAGCCTGTGTTTTTACCTCTGCATTTTGGAAGGGCTGCCCTGGATCTCCCTCTGGGACGTCTGCCCACATGCTGCGTGCCTCCCCACCTCTTGGACTGTTAGCTTGAGTGGCATGTTTGGGGGCAGAGGGAGGCAGAAATGGTCTTGCTTCCTTGACAGTTTTCATGGGGCAGCCTGGTTCACCAAAAGTCTAGAATACAGCTCTGAGGACATGACTGCACACTGCTCAACACCTTCTGGGATGCCCGCTGCCCTACAGGACAGAGCCCAAATCCTCAGCCTGGTGACCGGGGCTGCACCTCTCCTTGGCTCCCACCAGTATTTGTTCTCCTTACACAGACCCTGCATTTCCCTGCCTCCATTCATCCCCTCTCTGCCCTGTGCACAGCTCTAAGACCTAATCTTCCTTCAAATATCCGCTCTCTGGTTCCTTCCCTTTTTTATAGCCCTAAACATGTCTAGGAGTATATGAGTTACAGATGTAAGTATCTTCTCTCCCCTCTGGCTATCGGCTCCAGGAGGGCTGGAGCCCAGGAAATGAGGCTGAATGGGGCAGAGCTTATGGGGGATGAGGAAGGCTCCTGAACAATCAAGTCTGAGTCACAGCCTGGAAACAGGCCAGACCCTAGAAGCATCTCCTGAGGTCAGAATCTGGGCCGTACTTGTAGGCATGCAGTGCAGTTTGCCTTCAAGGACGTAAAAGCTAAAAGCCCCTTTGTGAGGGGCTCCTTGGGGCCATGTCCCCCACTGGGACTCTAATTGCCCCCAAAAAGCTGGGCTAGGCCCTTGTCAAGGAGCAGCTGTGTCCCTGCAGAACCTTGTAAGTGCCACCCCACCAGCCCCCTCCCAGGGCTAGGCCCAACACAGACTCTGCCCTGCATATGGGGAGAGCGGCCCTGGCATCCTCCCTGCTTCCTTGCCCCCCAACAGCTGTAAACCCTCCAGTCTTTGAAGTCCATTTTCCCTCATCTTATCCAGATTCCTTTGCAAAAACTCATGAAACTAGAACTTGCAGAGTCATTCATTGTCCAAAGTGCCTGAAGAATCCTTTTAATGAGATTTTTCAAGACTTTTTCATCCCTTTCTCCCACTGCCTGCCTTTCCAGACTGGAAACTGTGTTAGTGTGAAGTTTTTTTGTCAATTTCTAAAGGCTCAACCCTTGCTTCCCCAAGGCTGGAGTGAGTGCACCCAGGAGTCAGTGGTTGGTGCCAGGGCCAACGTGTCTGCTAGCAGCCAAGAGCCGAAGGACCTGCTGCCCTGTCAGGTCAGGCTGGAGATGGGGAAGAGGGAAGGCTCTGCAGGGATGAAGGGAAAAGGGCAGTATTCAAAAGCAATTAGATAGGATCTTTCTAAGATTGCTTCCCAGGTGGGAAGTATCTGCCAACGAGGGGACTCTGAGAGGTGATGGGGTGGGGAGTGTGGGCACCATCTTGGATTGCCATGGGTGTAGGAGGTGGAGGGGCAGGTGGGCGGCAGCTTAGGCCACTGCAAGGATCTGTCTGGTCCCCACAGAATGAAGCAATCACCATCTTGATTGTCAGTGAGGTCAACTGCCAGCTGGGCAGCCTTAGGTCAACCCCCTGAGTCTCAGTCTCTCCACCCATGCAGGAGGGAGCCTGGGTTAGATGGGCCTCTCAGGTCATTTCCAGGTTTGACATCGACAACCTTCTGCTCCAGTGCTAGGGGGGCTTGGGGGGGGTGAGAAGACGCTGGGCTAGGAGTCCACTGCCTCCACCCTGGTCTTGGGAGGGCATTCAGCTGCCTCTCCCTGAGGTGTGGAAGAGGACGTAACCTCTGCCCTAGCCACACCACGGGGCTGTCCCAGGGAAAACACGCAGGCCTCTAAAACACAGGGTGCTGGAGATATGCAGGGAGGCAGGGTCAGGAGGGAGTGGGGTTTACATGTGAAGGTGGGTGTCTGAGTGGACCTTGCACTTCCGTGGCCCCATCACTAAGAATTGAGTCTCAGCTCCTATGACGTATGACAGCTGTCCTGGCTCCTCCACATCCCCGGGCTTCGCTGAGAGGCCCCTCCACCTGAGATCCCACCTGCTGTCCCTGCCCTCTCCTCAAGGCCCACATACACCTCCCCCTTGGCTTTTCCTCACCCTCTGAGGCAGGGACCGCCCAGATCCATTCAATTCTGAGTCCTTATGGTTCTCAGGTGTAGACCTGCAACAGGGCCCAGGCTGACCGGGCGAGATGTGAGCACCTGCAGCCTGGACCGAGCCGTTCCCACCTCAGCTCTCTCTCTGCTTCCCTGCCAGTGCCTGGTACAGAGGGCTCTGATAAACACCTGCTGAGAGAAGGACGGAAGGGGTGGAGGGCCCTGTCCTCTGAGGTCAGACTCCCCCAAATCCTTTCTCCACCCTAGAATACTTTCACAGCAGGACCCAAGGCTCATATGAAAACATAGCTGGAATTCCAATGTCCATGTGCACCAGGTTCCTGACGACACCATGAGAGGGGAACGCCAATCCCCACCCTGCCCCACCAGGCAGGCCTCTGAGAGACCTCGCACCTTGCAGTGGCTGGCAAAGCTGGCACTTGCCCCAAGAAGCTGGGATGTTCAGTACCAGGGCCATTCCACTTGTGGTCGAGGTGATTAATATCAGGTGTCTCTCCTTGGCTGGCAGCTGGTCTGGTCAGCGGCAACTGGGGCTGCTCTGGGAAATAAGCTCACATTCCCTTAGCAGGCTGCCCTGCCCAGCCACAGGATGGCCTAGCTGATTTTGGGCTTCAAGGGGAAGCTGACCGGATGAGACCACTTGTCTGATCCGTGGGATCTAATGGCTCTAGACCAGCATGCAAAGCTAAACCCTCCACCCCCAGCACCCATGGGCAGAGACCCATCATCCAAACCACAGTGCTTGATGACCAAATCCGACTGGATGGACACAAGAAGATAAACCTAGGTCTGAAGGCAGAATGTTCTTATCTGGGTTCCTGGCATGGTCTCCTCCACCTCCTCCCCTGGCTTAGGAGGTGCAGGGGATTGGCAGAGCCCAAGGACAGGGGAAACCAGGAGGGTCACAGACACCTTGATACCAGGGTAGAGGCATCCTTAGCAACCATCAGAGTCGAGGTCTCACTGGGTAGGTATGGATGGATGCTGTGCCCCAGAAGAAAGAAACCCATCCAAGGTCACATAGTGAGCTGCAGGTGGCAGGACAGGACTTCTGCCCAGAACTCTGGACAACAGGTCCTTTCTGTGGCCATTAAGGGTGGCCTTCGATGAAACTACAGGGCTAACCCAGGAAAGCAGAGGCAGGGTGGAATAATATAAGATAATGTTTATACTGTACTGGTTGAGCGAAAGATGTTTTCTGCAAGGACAGCACTGTCACCCCCTGTGCACAGATGAGGCTGTGACTCAGATGCTCAGAAAGGTCATGTGACAGACAAGGCCACAGGGTCAGGGCATGGGGAAGGCCAGCCCCATCTTCCTTTACCACAGGCAGCCCGGCCCTCAGGACTACAAGCCCGCTACTGTGAAAGCAGATTCAAGGTGCTGGCCATAGCTCAAGAGGGGGCCTACTGTCTAGAGACGAAAGGGAACTACACTCTTGGGGCTGGATGGAAACACTCTTCCTGAGACCCACCCGGGAGGGGCATTTGGGCCGGTTTGCATGGTGGAGGGCATGCTGCCCAGGGGATTAAGAAATGAACTCTCCAGGTATTACTGGTCTGATTCCTTCCTCAACTGGCTCGAGACTCCTGTGCTCAGCATTGGTGCCTTAGCCCTGGTACATCCTGGGTACTAGGGAGGCTGTTCTTCCCCTGCAGGTAGGCCATGCGGGGGTCACCACGTGGCCCCAGAGTCCGGCTGGCCTGCCCAGTGCAGGGATTCAGCACTTCCCAGTGAATAAACAGGGTGCTCGATGGGGCCCTGGCCCTCATGGAGGAACAGCTAGGCCTGGAATGGGGCACTTCATCCCCGACTCGTTGCTGTGTTCAATCAGGTATTTGCAGAAGATCCCTCCAGACAAAGGGATTCCAGGAGGAAGGGGATTCACTGAGGAGCTCAGAGACTGCCAGTGTGATGAGTACTGTGCTGAGGAAGCCCAGGACTGGGCAGGCTGCCTGGGTGGGCAGGAGAGGGTGGTGTCCCGGGCACCCTGTCCCCTACGTCACCTGCTTCCCTCACCTCTGGAAGCCCAGGAAGAGTGCAATTCACTGTGAGGCAGGAAGGTACAGATGGGAGTTGCTAGGTTACTTTGGACAGTGAGAGAGGAATGGAGGAAACGGGGTTGCCTGGGGCAGTGAGGAGTTGAGGACCTTCTAGGCCCTGTTTGCACAGCCAGCAGTGTGCACTTGTCCTCCTCCGCTACCCTCTCCTCAATACAGTGGCAGCCCTCTGGCTTTGGCTGCCTCCATGTCAGCATCCCAGAGGCCAGCAGTGGTTTAGTATCGGATTTTCCTCAACTGCAATAACTGGACTTTAAGCCATGAGGTCTGATGATGAATAATGATGTATGCAGGAGCCATTTCTCCCAAGTGCCCTGCTTAGAAATCCCCCCGACATCCTCACCAGCGAGGTGGCCGTCCAGCCCCTGGCTGCTTACCCCTAGTGAAGAGATGCCCACTGCCTCTGCAGGCGCTTTGGTCACTCTAATTCTTGATCAGCTCTGACTGTTAGAAAGCTTCTTCTCTCGCTGAGACTGAGCTAGAATGTGCCTGCCCATAACTACCCCCATCTGGGACCCCAACCATGTCTGCTCCTTCTGCCCTGACAGTCCTTGAGAGACCTGTGGTTCCTACCATGTCTCTGCACACCCTGTCTTCTCCAGGCGGACTCCAGTGCCTCTGGGTCCTGCCTGTGCTCTGCAGTTTGTCACCATCCCCCTCAGGCAGAGCCCAGGAGACCACGTGGGGTCAGTCCTGAGCAGGCAGCACAGGCCAACCTCTCGCTCCTGGGCTGCACTGATCCTGTTCCCCACACGGCTGGCCTGCACATGGGCTCTCCTGACAGCTGCACCCCAGCAGGCCCTCTCTTTATCACATGGCCTCTAATAATGATGAGCACAGCAGAGGCAGCCAGGCAGCGGGCTTCACTGTTTCTGGTGGTTGTGTCGGCTTAAGGGCCTGGGTCTACTCCCCAGTTCTGTCACTACCTCTCAGTGTGTCCTTGGGAAATCCCTCCTCTCTCTGGGACTCCATTTTCCTATCTGTAAAGTCAGTTTTAGACAATTTGTTAGGTCCCATCCAGTACCAGCACGAAATGATGAAGCGCTCAACCAAAAAACCCTTGTCTTATTTTGGGGTTCCCTATCCCAATGCCTTGTGGGTCAGAAAGACCTGACGCTTCACAAAGAGGCCACAGGGATAACACCAGTAGGATTCCTCTGGTTCTTCCCAGTGTTCCTCACAGCCTTTGTGGGACATATAAAAATCAGATCTGCCAAACAGTAACCTAGAATATAAGGAAAGGGTCATTCTCACAGTGCAGTACCATGGGAAAGAAAACAGCTTGTCTTAATAGCATGCTCCCTGCCTGTTGGGCCAGACATGTCCCCTTTCTGAGCCTCAGTTTCCTTATCTGCAAAATGGGGACAAGATGTTTCTCATCAAAGAACTGTTGTGAGATTTGAGAGAGGGATGAGGTAGGCTAAGAGCATCATACAGCCCCTAACTCACAGCAGCTGTGAAAGCTTTTCTTTGTTATTTAATACAAATCCTAGAAAAATGCCCCTCCTCTTCTGAGAAGGCAGAAACAGAGCACATAAAAACTCCTCTGTATCTCGGAAGAATAAGATCAAATTGAAAAACCGAGGCTTGAAATAACTCATGCTGGCAAATTTCCCAGGGGGACACTGGCAGGTCTTTCTGTCACAGACACAAGGGCCAGGAGGTGCTTTGCTTGTGGCTGCTGTAGTAGGCTTAGCAGGTGAACGAGGCTGTACTCACTTCAGGGAGAGGGAGTAGTCGTGCTTGCTGGTCTGGCTGTTCCGGACAAGGTAGCTACATTCCTTGCAGAGCCGTAGCAGGTTCTCTGCGTCTCCTCTGCTGATGGCTCCATGATACCAGCTGGGGAGAAGAGAGAGGGTCACACCCAGTGGGGACAGGACCCCCACAGCTGACACTCTGAAATCCACTCCTCCGTGAGGAGGCTCAGCCCCCTCAGAGGGCTGCTGTCACGTCCCAGGCCTCCTCATTACAAGGCAGGTTCATGTGTGCATGTGTGTTTGTGCACTCCGTCATTCAACAGATATTTACTGAGTGCCTGCTGCATGCCAGATCCTGGGGAGAGAACCGTGCACAAACCTGTGGTCTCCTCCTGCACAAAGCTCACATTCTAGTGTAGGTGCTGTGGAGGAAAGGAAGCAGGGCTGTGTGGTTTGGAGCTTGTGCTAGGGACTGCTATTTAAGGCAGTGGCTGGAGAAGCCCTCCAGAAAGAGTGACATTTCTGTGGGGACCTGAAGGAGGTGGGGGATGAAGCCATGAAGGAAAGCAGCTGGAATGAACGTTTCTGGCAGAGAGAAGGGCAAAGGCCAAGACCTGAGGCATGAGGGCCCAGAATGTTTTAGAAACAATAAGGAGACCAGCATGGCTAGAGTAAGGCAAGGGGCAAGCGTGGGCCATGAGGCCCAAGAGGCCACAAGGCAAGGTGGGGTCAGGGGGCCCTGCACACATGCAAGGGCTCTGGCATTCTCTGTCTGAGTGACATGGAAGCCATCGGAAGATGCTGACAGGAAGGACATGTGCTGACTTTCTGTGACACCTGCAGGACAAGTGGGAGGTGGTCACTGCTCGGGAAAGCAGGCAGTTGGATGGGGTGGCCACACCAGTGCTCTTGCCAAGAAAACCCACACTGATCAGACCATGGGAATCCCAGTACCACCATTCTGAGCACCACATGGTGAGTGGCACAGTCAGAGGGAGGCACAGTGGCAGACGGCTGATGGTACCCAACTGCAGGGCAAAAGGGGAACGGGAACACTGATTTTTGAGAATGGAAGAGTTGAAGGTACAGTTTCAGTGGAACAGCGAAGATCATAAGGCACCGGTCTGTGGGTATACACTCGGGATGCGTTTCTGTTTGTGTAACGGTCTCTGAGGAGAAGTGGGAAGGTGGCAAGAGACAGGCCAGGAAGAGAAGCAGGGGCAGTGGGCGGCTGAGGCTGGGTCATGTTTCAGGGTGATCTGGGAAAGCAACTGAACCTGGCTAAGCATCTGTTCTCTACCAAGTTAGGGTCACTCTACCACCATTGTGGGGTTGAGTGAGGATTAAATGGGGTGATGCACAGGGGGCTTAGTCTGAGCCAGGGATGGAGTGGATTTCAATAAACGGCAGCTAGGAGCATCCATGGAAGACTGACCTTGCAGAGGGTGGTTGGGGGTAACTCCCCCAGCTCCCATTCCATCAGGCTGCTGCCCCACCCCCTGCCCCATAGGCTGCATTTTCAGTTCCTAAGCCTACGTTGGTTCGCTGCCCCAAGCCCTGACCCAGAAGCACCCAGCAAACAGTACCTCTGACAGCTCTGTGACAGATGCCCTGCTTAGAGAAAAATGTCACACTACCTTCTGCTGTGCATGTTCTGGCATTCACACGGCAGTGTTCTCAACAGTTAGCAGCAGTGGCGACAACATAATTATAAGCTAAAAAAACCCAACCAGCTTCAGGAAAGCAAGGACTAGGAAGCAGATGTGAGTGTCCCCGCCCAAGGAGCACGCTGACTGCCCAGGAGGCGACCGCTCGCAGCAGGTTGGCCCAGGCCCAGCCACCTGGAGGGGAGAGGCAGGCGAGCAAGGGAAGGCCCACCTTCCCTTCTGAACTTACACAGAAATTAATAAGAATGTGAAGTGGAGGACGGCATGGGCTGCCATAATTAAACCACTTGAGAGACATGAAGGCTCCAGTTCTGCTTTAGAAGGAACACAGGACTGTGACTGGGAAATGTAGCTGCATAAGGACAGAGCCAACTTTAGAAATAAGAGTTAACAGACTTGGCAAGGTTGTTTCCCGGGGAATTTCACCTGTGTAACACACTCCCCGGGAGTTGACAATGGTTTACTAGGAAACAAGTTCCAGCGACTTGAACAGCGCTGCCCTCAGGGAAAGGCCTAGAAGTGGTCTCCAGGGAAGTGCTGCCTGGCGTCCAGTCCGAGCACAGGCATGAGCCAGCTCTGAGGAGTGGTGGCAGGTGGGGCTCTGGGGGCTCTGGATGCTGGGAGGGTAACCCCTGGTAGGGAAGCAGGACAAGCTGCCGGTTCCTTCCGTGGCTGCTCTGGCTGTGCCATGCAAGAGAAAGGCAGGGGACTTGGGGTTGGGGATCAAAGGACACCCGGGCCGAGTTTGGGGGGGAAGGGCCAAAGGACACTAAGTCAGGGGGGCTGGGACCAGCCACTGGCCACCCTGTCAGGAGCTTGGCCACCAAGAGAAAGGGTGGGCCTATGTGGGCCTATGCTGGGGCTGGGGGCCAACTGCTGGTTCTGAGCAGGCTTTGCCTGGACTGAGAAGAGAATCTAGGCAGGAGGCCATCTTGATGATGTGCTGGCCTCTGAGGAGCTGGCCAGTCAGGCTAGAATCACAGGGATTAAGAAAACTTAACCACTGCCATCCAGTCCATCCACTGCCCATTAGCTCACCCAATATTTACTCAGTATTTACTACATGGGGCTGATGCTGGGAGATGAAGAGTCAACAAACAGATTCAGGAAACAATTTCTGATAGTGACAAGTGCTATATAGGAATTCTGGGTTTGTGCTAAGGCAGTGATGGAGTGGGGGTTGGTGCCTGTTTTAGAATGAATGGGCAGGGGAAGCTCCGGAGGAGATAACCTTTGACCTGAGAACCTGCATTGTGAGAAGGAGCCAATCACATAAACAGCAAAAGAAAACATGTTCTCTGCTGAAGAACCAGCAAGTGCAAAGGTCCTGAAGTGGGGATGAACTTGGGGAGTTCACAGAGTAGAAAGGCAGCAAGAATAGTCCAGCACTGTGAGCATGGGGAGTGGTGCTGGGCGAGGGTGGAGCAGAGGCAGGGCCCAGTCCCCTGAAGCCTTGTGGGCCAAGGGAAGAGGTCTGATTTCAGTCCAAGTATAGAGGAGGGCAATGGGAGTTTTAAACAGCTGTTACTGCTCTGGATGGTCTGGATGGTCTTACAGAAGGTCAACCAGGCTGCCCTGAAGAGGGGTAGAGAGGAAGTGAAGCAGAAAACAAGTTAGGAGGCTTCTGCAGTGGTCCAGACGGGAGGTGGCCCCTGAAATGAGAGCAATGGATGGATTTGGGCTCTATTTTGGATGGCGAACTGGCAGGACTTAGAATGAAATCGATGCTGGTGTATGGCAAAGAAAGAAATATGACAACTCCAGGTTTATAGCTTGAGCAGCTGGACAGATAAAATGCCGTTTATGAAGGTGGGAAGCTGGGAGAGAAGAGCATCCAGGAGAGGATCAGGAGCCCAGTTCTGGCCACAGTAAGTGTGAGATGCCCATTCGTCAGCCAAGGGTTGATGCCAAGGAAGCTGGATGTAGGGCTTGGGAGTTTTGGGAGAGGCGTGGGCAGGACATTTGCACTGGTGAATCACCACTAGGACCCAGAGAGGCTACCCAGAGTGAGCACATAATTGGAAAGTGAGTCCTGGACAGTCTAATCTTCAGGCCAAGCTGAGGCAAGCAGCCAGCTGGGGAGATAGGAGTGGCCAGGAAGGCAGCAGAAAAGCCAAGAGCAGAGAGTATCTTCAAAGGAAGGGTGTAATCTGCCACGCTGAGTGCCATGGAGGGAAGAGGAGGCCACCTGGTGACCTGGGTGGAAAAGGAAGCAGACTGTGGTGGGCAAGAGAGAACGGGAGGTGATGGAAGGCAGGAAAGGGCTGCTGACAGCTCTTTGGGAAGTTTGTCCATTCACTGGATGGCTATTTACTGAGCACCTATTGTATGCCAGGCACTGTACTATGGCACTGTGGACACGGTGGTGACCCAGACAAGTTCCTGCCCTGATGGAGCTTATGTTCTCTTAGGAGCAAGGACTAGAGATACTGGGTCAAAATTATTTTATTTATTTGCTTTTAATTAGTTTGTGACTAGAACATATGCTATGGTAACAATGATGTAGGGCGGAGGGGGCGGTGGGCTGCCCCCAGGGACATGGGGAGTGTCTCTGAGCAACTTTCCCACTATCTTAGGAGGGAAAGCAGGTGGTATGGTCACGGGGGCAGCTGTGTGACTGCCCATCCTCAACAACCCTGTAAGGCCTGAGGCGTGCCCCTCAGTGCATCAGAGCCCCCTCCCAGTCCCCTGTGCTGGGATGTGGAGCTGCCTCCTGAACTCTGAGGCATCATCAACCCAGGTCAGGGAGTAGGCGATCCTTTGCCTGGGTCATCAGGCTGTGCTGAAAGTAGGGTTTTACCTAAGGACACTTCTCGGGTAATGAGTCAGGGCCTTGGGCAGGCCAGAATAATCCTGGGGAGATGAGAAGATGGGTGGGAAGAGGGCAGGCTGGGCCAGCTGACTTTGGTTCAGTATGCCCTCTGAACAGCTCTCAGGCGTCTCTGGATCATATGTGTTTGTAGATTCCAAAGTGCAGAGTTTGATCAGAAATAAGAAAACCCCACCACCCAGACTGGCTGGCTGTGAAAAATGATTAACATGACACCTGCTGGGAGAGCTCCTGCTGTGTGCTTGGTACAGCAGGCACAGGCTATCACTACAGAGCCTGCAGCCTCCCAAGTGATAGCATATGCCTAAAAAGGGGCACATGACATCATTTGGAAAACCTGCATCCTGCTCATCGAGTGAGCATGTCCTGTGAAGGATGCACTGTTGGCCGTGCTGAGACCAGAATCCCCCGGGAGTAGACTAATATAATATGTGATACATATGAGAGTCTTATGAGGAGCCACCTTGGTTCATCTCATCTCTTGGCTTTATGGAGCACCTACTGTGTACCAGGTGTGTGCAAAGGGTGAGGAATAAGCATGTGTAGGAGGAAAGGGAAGTTAAGGGTTGAGTTACGGGACTGGAGTTCGAATCCTACATCTGCACTGAGCCATGAGATCCTAGCCAACACTCTGCACCTCAAGGCCCTGACTTTCCCATCTATGCAATGAGGATGATAACCCCATTTATCACACATTCCCTTGTTAGGGGGATGATACACTTGAGGGTACTAGTGCAAGATTCAGGACTACCTTTTAGTTCCTGGAGAGGCTTGCTCTAGTCCAGGTCTGTGGAATGGTGAGAAACTGAAAACTGAGTCTGGGGCAATTCACAGAGCAATTGGCAGGCTAGGGAGATAGGGCTTTATCCTGGAAGTGACTGGGAGCCACTGAAGGTGTCAGAGCAGAGCAGGGACCAGTACACAGTGAGACCCTGACAGAGGAGGGAGATGATCATCACCGCCAAGGCGAGGGGCAGCAAAGGAGGGCCTGATCAGCAGTGTTGGGAGGAGCGGAGATGAAAGGGGGCAGCAGGGACAGGACTCTGCCACCAACTGGATGGAGGTGGGAAATCTCTGAACAAAGGGGCCAAGAAAACCCAAATCAAGAGTGTCAAGGCCTTGCCCAACTAATAGCAAGCAGATGTGGGGCAAAAATATCACTGTAGCTAGAAAACAGATCGAATTTACAATTAGAGGACAGGATTTACTATAGTAGGACGTAAGGGTGAGGGCTGAAGCAGTGGATGATATTGCAGTCTCTTCTGCTAATCATCAAAAGGGAGGTGGCACAGTGTGGAGGGAGAGAGTACAGGCACAGGAATCAGGAGAGGTGCACTCTAATGCCATTCTGCCACTGACTTGATGGTGGCCTTGACCTTCTGTGAGCCTAACAGTGACTCCACACAGTGGGACCTAAGGCTGGGTTTTGCTCTTTAAAACTTACATTTGCTTCTCCAGTGGGACAGCAGGATCCACTCTTTCTCCCAGGATCCCACAGAACTCAGGGCTCCCATGTTTGATGGGCTTGAAGCCCCCTCCAGGAGCTCGAAGCTGGCGCCGCCGGTCCCGGGAAGGCGAGGGGGATGACTGCCGTTTCTCACTGCCGTTAAACTGGGCTGTGGGGGGAAAGAAAGTTCATGGTCACCTGGAGCTCAGCCCCAGGAGTTACTGAGCTAATAAGCTGACCGCTCCCGTTAAGGCTTTACAATTCGCAGGAAGAGTTCAGGCAATGAACACACACAGCTTAAAGGATCTGGGCTTCCTAAAGCAGGACATGCAGGTGGCGTCAGAGCCTGGCAGTGCATTCAAGGTGCTAGGTGAGTCTCTAGAGGCCACGGAACTCAGTCTTAACCCCAAAGGAATCCCCCTGCATCCTCCAGCAAGGGGCACACATGGCACTCCTGAGGGGCTCAGTCCTCTGTGCAGTTTTCTGGGGAGAAAGCTGTTCTTCATTTTGTACCAAAAACCTGCCTCCAAGTCGCTCTCGTCCTCCTGCCATTCTCCCACCCCACCTGGGGCCTCACTGGCCACATCTGCCCCCTTCCTTCTGGGGAACTACAGAGTTCCAGTCAAGGGTGCTGCTGCGTCCCCTGTCTGCTTGCTCCTCTTCCTTCAGGTTCCCCGCGTGGTCCCATGTAGCGAGCCCTGTCCTGGGCCCAGGACCCGGTCAAGGCTGGGGCACTGCTGGCACAGTGGGGTGGGGGTAGGCCCTGGGCCCTCCCATTTGCTTTCCTCCTGCTCTGGGACCGATGAGCTGTTCACACCTGCAGTCGTGGGAAGGATGCCTCCCAAGGGCAGGACCCTGGAGATACTCCACTAAGAGCAGAAAATACTGAACTAAAGTACAGTTGCCAGAAGTGTTCCTGGACACCAGCTGGTCTATCTTGCAAGTGATCTCCCTGGGCCTCAGTTGCCTCCTCTGAAAAAAACAGGGATAATGACCTTACCCACATCATGGGGTGGCTGTGAGGATTCAATCAGGTGACACACACAGAGAGCCCTTAGCAGAGTGCCTGGCATGTCTATGCTCACTGTTATTATAAACATTTATTTTATTATGTCTGTTCAACACAGTACTAGGCACTTCACATAAGCTTCAGAACAGGCCTAAGCTCCTCTCCTAAGCCTGCCAGTGGCTAGCTGTGTGTCTGAATTACTGAGTCTCTCTGAGGCCCCTTTTCCTGCCTCACCAGGCCACTGTTTAGACCAGATGAGAGAATACCTCCTAGGGCCCAGCACACACACATGCTGAATGACCTGGCCCAGGGCCCACAGAATGAGGTTCCCAAAGTCATGTCTAGCTGCAGAGCCACAGATGTGCAGTGGCAGAAATCTCCCTCCTAACTAGGCAAGCACAGACATGGAGAGCCACCCTCCGACCCTCGCTAGACACATGGCAATCCACCTCACATTCATGAGGGTGGTGGGAAACCCAGCCGACTGCGGGGATGTGCTGTCCACAGGGACCAAGGAATGCGAATGAACTTGTTCTATGTCTCAGCCACCGAGCAAGATCATCCATCAGCACTCTGAAGCATTTCCAACCTTCCAAATCACTCTATTAACCAGTATGGAAACAGTGAGAAGGGAGGTTCCTGCCAATAGAAGACATGCCGGACCCGTGTGTGTGTGTGTGTGGACGTGTTGTGATGTAACGGGTCCAGCAGGCCATCCACCCAACTGTCTCACTCCTATACATTCCTTTTTATGTGCCAGGGACAGTTCAAGGCTGGGGAAACAGCAGTGAGCAAAACAGACAGAAATCCCTGCCTACAGAGCTCAGAGTCCGAGAGAGGAGAGAGGCAAGGAATGAAACAACCACATCTACAGCACTTCACCTGGTGACAAGTGCTTGTGTGTGGACGTGTTGTGATGTAACGGGTCCAGCAGGCCATCCACCCAACTGTCTCACTCCTATACATTCCTTTTTATGTGCCAGGGACAGTTCAAGGCTGGGGAAACAGCAGTGAGCAAAACAGACAGAAATCCCTGCCTACAGAGCTCGGAGTCCGAGAGAGGAGAGAGGCAAGGAATGAAACAACCACATCTACAGCACTTCACCTGGTGACAAGTGCAGTGGAAATATCAGAAGCAGGGCAGGGAAGGCCCTTTGAAGGGTGACATCTGGATAAATACCTGCAGGAAAGGAGGGACAAGCCGTGCGGACATCTCTGGGAAGGACTTCCCAGGGCAAAGGGAAGAGCAAGTTCAAGACCCTGAGGTGGGAACATGCCTGCGGTGACTGAGAACAACAGTCCAGGGCGCCTGGAGGTGAGCGGGAGGAAGAAGGACCGATGGTCAAGGCCTTGGAAACGACTCTGGTTTCAGTTTGAGAAATGCAGAGCCATTCAGATGTTCTGATCAGGAAGATTTTGACCTGGCACATGGTAACAGGATTGCTGTGCTGAAAGAGATGGAGGTCAGGGGTATACGGGAACTCTCCACATTTTCTGTTCAATTTTCTTGTGAACTTAAAATTGCTGTTAAAAAAAAAATAGATAATTAAGAGAGAGAGAGTGCGAGTGCAGGGAGAGCAGTGAGGAAGCCTCTGCAGGTCAGGCTGGCACTGGAAATGTGGATGGCAGTGACAGGAGGCAGTCAGATGCTGGCAGAGACTGGTATGTGTATTCAGTGTGGAATGCAGGAACAAGAGGATGGAGGAGACTACAGGCTTTTGGCCTGGGCACCGGAACAGTGAGACCGGCATTATCCAGGAAAACTCCAATCAGGCTTCGTGAGAGAGCAGGCTGGAAGCCAAACTCCAACCTAGAGACACCCACAGCCTGAGATGCCAGGTCTGGCGGGGAGCAGGGGCTCCTGCCCTCCTCTCCAGCTATGGTTCTGACCTGCATCCAACCAAAGGAACAGAGAACAGGGTAGCAGTGACCACTAGGCCCTTCTGGGGAGCCCGTGCTGGGTCTGGGTATCTGAGAAAGCCCTCTGGCATCTGGCTGATGAGCCGAGCTCTCCTAGTGGGGTTGAGGGGGTGAAGCCCAGAGCTGGGGCCTTGGTACACATCCTCACGGGACCCTCCCTGGCTTCCCAGCGGGGCTTCTGCTGAGCCACACCAGCACTCATGGCACCAGTCAAGTGGGGTATATGTTGTTGGGGGAGGTGGGGAGGGAGAGGCAGTGAGGCTTGTTCTGACCTAAGCCACCTACCTTGCAGAGCCCTGGATGGGTGACCTTGGGTAGGGGTGAACAACAGGGGTCAGGTAGACAGGTGAGGACCAGTCAGAGGCCCTTTCTAAAGAGCTGTCCTGAGCCTGTGGATGGTGAAATTAGGGAACGTCATCCTCAGATGGGTTTTGGAGACCTCTCTGACTACTGATGGAGGGTGAGTTTAGAGGCAACCCTGGAGGCAGGAAGACCAGTTAGGGAAGGTGATGGGGGCCAAATCCCTCAATGATAGGAGGGATGGATGTAGGAGGTGACTGCCACAGGACTCGATTGCTCCTAGCTGAGTCAGGGCAGACCCATGTGTGATGCCCCATTGAGATGGCAATCTGGGGCCCAGCAGGGGATGGGGTCAGTGGGCACCTCTTCACCAGGCGTCCCCTCTGCTAACTTTCTAGTTGTCAGGAATGGACAGGAGGCAGCTCACAGGCCTTCTGGCTCCTAGGGGCTAACTGTGCCAAGGTGGGCAGCAGAGTGGCCCAGTGTGGGAAGGGGCTAGGTGGAATGTGAGGGTCTAGGCTTAGCTTTGCCACAGGCTGAGGAGGAGAAACTGATGAGTTGGGAGGCACTTTCACCTCTGACAACCTGTGGCTCCACTGGCTAAAATCAGAACTGAGGGATTTCTGCCAACATAAAATCCCACTACACAGAAGGTGAGAACTTGAGATGCATGGAGCATGGAACACTGACTGGGGAAAGAACCCAAGCTCCTCGCAAGCAACACCCTGTCCAGCCTCACCACACTCCCTTGCAGGCTGCATCCTCTGCCTGAATTACCATAACGCCTCCCTTCCTCTTCTAACAGCCTCTTCTTCACCTGACCTAAGCCACTTGCACTTCAGCGTCACCTCTTCCAGGAAGCCTTCCCTGACCTCACTCCACCCCCAGCTCCAGACTCACCTCAATCCAGCATATGGTACCCTAATCACCAGTTTCCTTGTCTGGCTCCCCATGAGCTCCTCAAGGGCAGGAGTTGTGCCACCTGTGTCCATATTCCCCATGCCTGGCACATGCCCATAACAGAAGGTGCCCAACCAATGACAGAATGACGAAACTTAATGAGCTCCTGCTTCACTTTATTGGGAAAAAATATCCATTTTCATACCAGATAAATTGGATAAAACCTAATAACATCCCAGTCAACACTGTAATTCCCTGCAGAATTAATTTATACATTCACTTGCAAGCTTAATAATATAGCCATATATTTTAGAGGGAACAGGTGGTGATGAATGACAGGCTTAATTAGGCAAATCATTTCACCTAAAATAAAAATATACAAACTCCAAGTGCAATGATTCAGCAGTAGAGGGGGGAGGAATGTTAAGAACAAAAGCTCCAAACACAACTGCTTTCATTCTTTCTAATTAAGTTTCTCTTTAATCTGCAATTTCAAATGGCAATTCTTTTAATTTAGTGATTTTCTGCAAAAGATAAAAGAAGGCACAAGCCCTCAGAAGAGTATCTGCATTTAGAGAAAAGAAATAGGCCACCCTTGCCAGTCGTTAGAATGACAGAACCTAATTACTTCCACCTATAGGCAATTACAAACGGAAGTCAGAGTTCTGTGGAAAGAGGGGGGACTCAGGTGGGCAGAACCAGGCCCTGGGAGTCCTTCTGACTTAGGTGTGATGATGGGGACCACACCCTGGTGGCAGTGGGACAGTGGCCGGCTTAACAGCTTCACCAGTCTGTGTCCGGTGAGGAGGCCCTTCTGTGATGCCCCAAATGTCCTCCCAAAAGTTCTGGTTTGATGATCTTTTTTTGATGACCATCCTTTAAGATGCAACTCAGGCACACCCCCCACTCTCTGGGAGGTCTTGCCTCCGTCCAGATCAGCCTCTGATGCTGGTGGTCCCTTTCCTACTTGTATTACAGATTTTATGCCAATCAGTCCTTAAGTTCAGTCAATGCGAATGAGGGAAAGTGGTGACCCAGGC